AGTCAGCGCGGCAATCGTTCCATTTTGTTGATGGATTAATTAGGAATGAAGAAGGATTAATTTTAAGCTCTATTTTAATAGGAAAATGATCGGATCCCAATGTATCGGTATATACTTGACCAGTTTATACGATTTGTTAATCGTCAGGCTAAGTTATCGTGAGGCTGAGGTAATAGTCAAATCAACGGCAGAATGATTACCACTCACGGTGATTCTAGTAGGTGTTCCGTTATTTAGAGAAACTAATTCGAAAAAAATCCATGCTTTCGACTAATATTCTACCATTACGGTCATCCGGGATAGTGGGCATTAAAGTCACCACAAAAAACTGTTTTATTATAATCGAATTGTTCAAATAAATGTATTCAATCAGCCTTTTCTACTCTGATGTCAGATGGTTCATATATATAGACACAAAAGAGATATTAATTTTGTTAAGTAAGACTGTACACACTTCGATTCCGGTATTAAAATTATAGTTAATGTTAATTTATTTGATAATCAATGCCCTTTAGTATGAAAATGCCTACACCGCCATAGCCACTTTCACGGCATTTTGAAACAAAATGATACCCTTTTAATTTGAAATCCATTTGGTTTTTGGATTGGGTATTATAGGATTAGATTTAGGGGTAGGTCTTTTGTTAGAAGTTGAGACAGAGGTATGGGGTAAAATTGGCAGAGAAGTTGCTTTAGGTTTATTAGTTGTAGTTGTGTGATTAGTTTTCCTTACCGGTTTATTTAATGTAAAATTAGGGACATTTTAGACGAGGTAGGTAAGCTGGGAAAATTGGAAATTTTATTTTGAATAGAAAATCTGTTATTAGTTATTATTTTTGCGTAGCTGGGATTGTTATGTAATTGTCCTGCTTCTCTGAATGTTATATTTTCTGATGCCATTATTGGTTTTTTTGATGGTACACAAGGCAAATATCGAACACAGTAGTTAATCAAATCTTGCTCAAGTACTTTTGATCACAAGATCATCCTCAGGGGCATTTCGTCAGTTGTGGCCTATCCAGCTTCCAAGTGAACTGACGAAATGCCCCTGAGAATGATCTTGTGATCGAAAGTACTTGGGCAAGATTTGATTAACTACTGTGTTCGATATTTGCCTTGTGTACCATCAAAGTTCATTTATTCGAACATTCAACCTTATATTGATTATTGGTTTTATTTTCTTCTGTTTCTCGTATATTGGACATTTTCTAGACAACGAGGTGTGATCGTTGGTTTTACAATATATGCAATGATTATTTTCATTACAAGTTTCTACAGTATGGGTGGTGTCTGTACATTTTTTACATCTACTGTCTTTAGATTTACATTGTTTTGAAGAGTGACCATATCTGAGACTGGCACTGGTACTTGTACTACCGGATGTACGTATGAATCTACTGAAAAATTGCATAAATTAATTGTTATGTTTTGTAGAACCTCGTTGCCCAAAAATTCTGCAACTATCTTTTGTTTTGTTACTAAAAGGACAGTTTTTTTTTTAATAACAGACCGCATACCCGATATTCCAACAATAAATTGTTTGTTATTTACACGTTTCGGCCGATAATCTTACCAGTTTTGCTCTATATATATAATTATATATAAATATATATATATATATATATATATATATATTATATATATATATATATATATATATTGTAAGTTTTTATTTGACCATATTTTTTATATTTTATGGAAATAAATATTCAGTTAAGGTTATATTTATTATTATTACTGTTTCGTACCAACAACTGTTTAAGTAATTTACCTTATTTTGGAGTGGAATCCCCAAGGAAAACGAAAAAAAGGTCGCCCAGTACAAACTTGGAGAAGATCCATCATGGACGAGATAAGAACACAAGGAAAGTCTTGGAATGAGGTGAAGGCCTTAGCGCAAAATAGAACCCGATGGCGCGTTTTCACTGAAGCTCTATGCTCCACTTAGGAGTTCAAGAACCTTATATATATATATATATATATATATATATATATATATATATATATATATATATATATATATATATATATATATATATATAAAGTTACTAGACTACCTTTTTCTATTCTTATGTCATTAAATATCATTTGACAATAGGAATTAAATTTAATCATTAAATCAGTCATCAGTTTGTTACATTGTTCCAATTACCATCTCATCGAAGAGATGTGTCACTAGACATAATACCACATTTAACCCGCCAACTAGGTTGTGAAGTGAAAATCGGCCACGTCGCTCATTACTGCTTGTTAAAATAGTGGCATCATCGCCAGATTCTTCTGGCGCTACGAGTACCTTTCCATAATATAACAGACCCTGTATTGCACTATAAATTTCAGTATATAAACAAAATTTGAATGAGTGGTGTCGGGTTCTTTGAACTTGTAGTTGATTTTGACCCCACCACACAGTTGAAGTTTAATATTATTTAGTTTGTGGTAATTTTCACCCTACAACACCGGTTTATTTTTAACAGGTAAGTTCTTATACTACCACAAATTATTTTGATTTTTCTAATAGAAAGATAATTACATATTTGTAATAATATTGATAATTAATTAGATATCATCAATTTCAGACATACCTATAGAAATATGTGTAGTTGGGAAAAAGAAAAAGAAGTCCTCTTAAAGCTTTGGCGGGATGAATTAACTGGATCAGAAAACGAATCTGAGAATGAAAGTCAGCAGGTTAGCGTTCGTTCCAGGATGTTTTTGAAAACCAACTTCAATCTGTGGAAAATTGTCAACTTAGAACTTCTAATCAGGAAAGTCAATCATCATCGGAAGAATCTTCTCGAGACAACAATACGTTCGAAGATGATAGAGTGAGATAATCTAAGTTTTTTATCGGATGGAATTGGAAAAAAATGTACAAAGAACTATCCCAATAAATCGGTTAGAACACGACAAGAAAATTTAGTTATTCTACTTCTCTACGTTCGAAATAATTCAAAACATCACAAGTTGCCCATTTCTTGCTAGGAATTATTCATGGATAATAATATTGTCCGCTAATAAAAAAATCAGTTTGGTCGCTCAGAATTATAACGACCAACATACTAATATCACCAATCCTTCGGATGCAGAAGATATTCGTGCTCTTTTTGGATTATTATATAAATAATAGGATCGAATGAAAAACAGTGGATAAACTGGCAGCTATATCAGCTGTTTTTGATCGATTTGTATCCAATTGTCAACAATATTTTATTTCTAGTCAATACTTGACGATGGACGAAAAATTATAATCTTTTTAAGGACGTTGTTCATTTCGGCAATATATTCCCAATAAGTCGTACAAATATGGCATTACAATTTTTGCCTTAGTGGATGTTAAAACATTCTACATTTTAAATTTAGAGGTATATGTCGGTTCATATCCTGAAGGACCTTTTCAATTCAGTAATCGACCTTTGATGTACTAAACAGGATTGTAAAACCAATACGAGGTACTAACCTCAACATTACATTCGACAACTGGTTTACCAGCAGACCTACTTCTAATGGAACATTTGCTTAGTGAACATTGGTTAACATCTGTTAACCAATGTTAAAAGTGAAAATGTCACTACACAGTCGCCGGGTTAAAGCTATTTAGTGATTTAATCTACTAAACGATTTAGTGTAAAGAAATCATCATCAAGATATTAACGTAAGCATATAAAGAAAAAATCGGGAAACTCAACATGGTAATAGAAGTAGCGATAGACCAACTTTGTGGCGAATGTAGTGATAATAATAAAAATTATCCTATCTTATCCAAAGAGACCATATTTATGACATATTTATATGAGTATATAATAAATGATAAGCTTAATAATATTTTTCTAGTTTTGTGTGATAAAATACTCATGTTCTCCGCCACCGAGTGGTGCAATTCTGGCCTTAAAAGCCTACTCTTGTGCATGTTTCGGATTTTTCTGCTTTAAACAGCCAGTAAGGACTGCCAAACTTTTCTGTAATAAAAACTGTGCAATTGTGTGGCCAAACCTAACTTGATTTATTTTTTAATAGTTTAATAGTTTTAAAATTAGCAACATGTTTTAAATGTATTGATCACATCAAGATAAACAGGGGTAATTAAACAAAATTTTATGAAACTAATTATTTTATTAGTAACAATAATATAATATGTGATAACCTCAGAATGTTTTACTGGTATTAACATAGTGTAAATATAATTATATAAAAGCTACAAGTTATCACTGTTTGTAGAGGTAGATTTAAAGTAACTGCCATTTGTAAGATTATAAACATGAATCTATTATAAAAAAAAAAAAATAGGTATTTTCTGTTATATCTAAACCTAGAAGCCGTATCCACATCGGGCGTACTTTCTCTGAGGGCTTGCATTTCAATACTTTTTACAAGTAATTGAATGTTTGTCAACAACTAGTTCGCATTTCGTTTATTCGTTAATATTCAAAGTGAGGATTATCTAAATTAAACAATACATTTCTTTACCCAAGTTACTTTTTTATATGTGTATATATAATTTCTAGTTGGCTTTAGTCTTCCACGGAGGGTAGTAGCAGTAGTTCTCTGTTACTGACTAATGTTAATTGTTGTAGTCAATTTCGATGGGTTCAAGTATGTAGATTATAAATCGTAATATTCCCTGAGATACTACCTTTGCTCTCGACTTTGTTTTTAAATGCAGTTTTTTTCTTTACTTATATACACAAAATTGTTTTTTCTGTGTTGTTAATTTACAAAAAAATTCGCTTGCGCTCCTAATCTAATATTTGTAACTATTGCATGAGTCCAATGTGGATATGGCTTCACAATACGCACAACAAATTCCCAGCTATAATAAATAATGTATGGATAATGCGTGGAAATCAGTTATAAATTATACCACAGTGTGAATTCAGTGGTCATATAAATTGAATTCAGTGGTGACACTAAATCCAAAAACAATTGTAAATTTGTTGTGCGAATATAGTTTAGATACATTTGCTGCCTTCATTTAAATCATATCCATTTATTTATTTTATTTAAACTTCGGTTCTTGGTGGTGGTCCAGAATAATCACCGTACATTTTGTAATTGTACCACAGTCGAACGCTAATGAAGTATACTACTTCGACTGCCGAGAGTAACGAGAATCCTGTGAACAAACCTAGCAGTCCCCCGAAGTTCGACAAAAAATCGAAGAAGCCGTAGAGCTCGTTTCGTTGGCTTGGGATGAACTGGTCAGATTTAAAGTATATCGTCAGTCTAGAGAAATGCCTGTAACAATCAAGTGAAAAAATATAAGATAAATACTGGATTATAAATATATTACAATTATTGTACGAAATTATTTTTTACTTTTATTTTAGTTAAACATGAACCACATCAATTTTTCTATGCAGCAAAGAAGAATATTTGACGACGTCGGTCGCCAAAAATGATTAAACTCATACCAAGATATCTTTTATAAAAAGGGTCATCAATTTTTGTGATAAAGTTGGTTCTTATAGAAGATACCAAAAACCGTTATTTACAAAAATAGGAGGAAGCTGTAAGCTTACACTTTAAAATTAGTTACAAATATACAGCTTCTGTTACAACACTGTGTCACATCATTGATATGAGTTTTAAATAAAATATCCTATATTTTAGTTTAAATTTAAAATTTGCTACAGTTCCACGTTACAAAATTACTAAGTTGTTTTGTGTTATATATGGTATTTAAAAGTTATAATTAAATCTGAATGAAAATCATAGCTAGTTCAATATCCCGTATAATTTAAAAAGTGTACAAAGGAGCAACGGCCTGTTATATCCACTGTTTTAAATAAATGTCAAAATTTCTAAACGTAAATAATTAATTTTTCTACTACTCTTTAAATCTAATGCAAATGTAAGTCAAAACACAAATTAATTATTGGCTCAGTATTTTTAAATGCATCAATTTGGTATTTGGTATGATTAGATATGTTTTACAAATTGACAATTCAGTTTTAAATCAACTTTAGCAGAGGCTACAACAGTCAAAAATAAATTTTGAAAGGAAAGAACTGGTAAACATGATGTGGTAAGCATGGATGTTTCTTACGTGCATACTTAATAGTTGTGGAGATATTTTGAATTTTATTTTGAAAAGGGTCCTTTAATGACATAAATTTATTATTTTTATTCACTTAACTATTTACAAATCCCATAAAATAACACAAAAAAATTAAATACAGAATTTATTTTTTGCATTATAAAAAGTGTTCGACATGTGTTCATAATATCATTAAAATCAAGGTTGTTATGAAATTATGTTTCGTAAATTGATAATTCAGTTTTAAGTGAAAATGTTTTGACATTGTCTTGAATTTTAATTATTTTACAACAGCCAAAAAAATTGAAAGGAAAAAATTTAGTATGCATTTATTATTATTTCTGTAAATAACTTGTTTAAGTATCTTCTAAGATAATAGATATAACGGTGTTTGTTGTTAAAGTTGATCGCCCCTGTACATACCACTTTTTTACAAAATCTTGTCTTTTTTAAGCTGTTGTCTCCTTATTATATTGTTTTATTAGTATTATACACTGAGAAGTTATTAAAGTATTAGTAGAAAAAGTAGGCTGCTGTGTTAAATTTTGCCCTTTTGGCAATGATTTGGGTTATTCAATCAACGGTTCAAATATGAGCTCAAAATTCCATACTGTATAATAGCCGTCTTGCGATTCTACCAAGATTTGAAGGTCAGAAAGGTACCGCATCAAAGTAGACGTTATTATAATCTGATACGGATTTTTCCTTCAAACGTGAAAGCGAAATGTTCAAGCAATAAATACTCTAGAAAAAGACGCTAAGCAAAATGTTTAACCTTGATGTTAATATTTATGGGTCATTGTTATTTAACCTGCAGTATTTACATATATACATAGCTTTTTATAAGTAAAGCTATTGTTTTCGAATCTATTTTGTTTATGTTCTCATAGTCATTTTGTGTAACATTTCGTATAAAGTTAGGCGATATCATATGCCTTAAAAAACTGACGTGATAAGAAGAACTACTTTAGTCAAATTTCAGTCAAAATCCACTAACTACAACGAAACTGCATTTCCCTTATTTAATAAACAGTATACAATGAAATATATTCAAAAATACACTTGTCAAATTTTTACCTAAACACTACAAATTTATAAAGCCAATAATAACATACTAATATAACGTTAAACAATTGAAATACTTACTGAGTGTTTACAAATCCTTCTGCACTAAATCGTTCTTCGATTCTCTCCGCAGCAAATTGTTTCCTCCATTTCCAAGATGTTCGAGAAGTTTCCGCATCGTATGAAAGTTGTGTACAAAGCGGCATACAATTGCAGCCTTTTTCTGGCTCCATACCAAGGATATAATCTAGTTCTGCTTCTCTTTGTAATCCTAAATTGAAAATAAAAAAAAATATGTTCCTATGTAATTTTCTCAGCCTGCACTGATTTTCACCAAAATTTTGCTATAGGTTCTACTTACACTCTATTTCAAAGTTGACCCCGTTCCGCAGGGTGCTTTAAGTCTAACTTCTAGAACCTTTTTCGTAGTACTGAAAAAAACATTATTTTTACTTTTTATGAAAGTCTGCAGCACCAATGCTAACGAAGTTATGACAAAAATAAGATTGGTTCGTATTTCTTTCTGCGAGAAAAAACGTAAAAATTACCACCATAATTACCACCCCAATTAAAAATAATTAATATCCCTCTACAATTCGCTTTATTATTGTTCATACTTGTAGTATGCTCTATAATAGAAGTTAGTCTGATTTTAAAAATTTATAGGACAAAAAATCCTTAAAATTAGCATCATACGGCACAGGATCAGCTTTAAAGTTGAGGGTAAGTAGGACATATAGCCCAATTTTGGTAAGAATCAGTGCTTTGACTATTGGACTATTATGTCCATTGATGCTGCTTTCTTATTATTTTTTTATTATAAACAAAAGTATCAAACATAAAATATTGATGTAAATATAATTTTATTATAGCTTACTTTCAGCTTTTTGCATACACTTAATATTTCCATTTCCGCAGATGGCACTGCTGTTGTCTCCTATAAAAAAGTATAAATGTATATAATAATGATATAAAAAATGTATATTTACATATTCATATTCTATTATTTATGAAAATTATGTAATTTATAATTGACCATTTTACACAGCCCTCTGAATAGATTACCTCGCATTATTTTTACGTATTATATGATATTATATGATGTAAAAATATATACTTTTATATCATTTCCATTTATGTTCTTTGACACTTGTCGAGGCATCTACAGTCTTTTTTTTAAGATTTTTAAATTGGATTATGCTAAACTACGTTGAGCCCAAAAATAAAATGACGATATCAACGGCACATCAGAATGTACCAGATTGTAAAACACAAAATCCATGAAGAGGACAAATCACACACATTTTTGGTGGACGGACGATTTAATCCAACTTGGTAACTAAAATACTATAATCAGTTTAAATATCGAAAAAGAAAAAAAAAGAGATAAGTCAAAATATGGAAGATTAAATGTGCGGAAATTACCTAAAGGATTCTATAAAAATCCTTTAAAAATAAAACAGTAAAGAGACTACCATAATAATCCACTTGAAGAACAACGGAAAAAATACTACAAGACACAAAAAGATATAGATCAAATAGGTATTAACAAAACAAAGCCTATATTCTGCTACTTTACTTCTATTGGTTTGTGGGGTGTTATTGTCCGGCTGTTGTATTTTTGGAATGCTTTATTCGAAAACATCAGTCATGCCAATGAGTTTTGAAAAAGAACAGATCTGACTGTAGATTTGGCTGCCCAAAAATTTCAAGGTATTTTAACGTTCTTGAAGTCTTGCACAGAATTTTCGCCACTTGAGGGAAATTTGTTAGTAAGCATGAATGATCCACCCTCTGAGTTTTCAAAAAAAAATCCCTTGTAGCGATGAAGCTTTGATAAGTGCTGAAAATGTGTACCAACTAGTCATCGTTTGCTAGCTATTTTTTCTATTGTTAACTGAATGATTACGGAACTTAGTGACAGGTTTAAGACTTTGAACAATATAAATAGCTAGTTTGGATTTTTGAATAAAGTTCAAAGTGAAGAATTAAAGAAATAAAAATTTTTAAAAATGAAATCTGAAGCATTCTACACTGCCGATTTTAACAGTGAAGTAAATAATTAAAAATTTGAAAAAGAGTATTGTTTTGAAGCTATTTTAAGAAAAATACAATCAATCTCACAAAAAAAAACAATCTCAAAAAAAAACAGAAAACAATTATAAGCACAATACAAATTGAAATAAACTCAGATTGCTATTTAGAATTTCGATATTGAATATTTAAACTTCAATTTAGGCACTTGGCAACCTTAAAAATTATAATTCACATTTGAATTTTTAAGCCTCGAAAATGCGTATTTTCCATTCCTCAGATTTTAAAGCGTTTATAGCTCGAGAACTGTAAACTTAAAAAAAAATGACAAGAATCCCTTTATATTTAGTATAACACAAAAAATCTAAAAAATGTTGGGTTCGCGCGGCAAAAAAAAGTAATTTTTGCAATTTGTTTAAAAAAATTGTTTAAATATTTTCTGCCCAAAAATTTCGTCCGGATCCCTTAAGATTTCTTTAAAGAGGAAATTTTTAAAGAAAAATCCGCAAAGAAACCGATGAGCGGTCTCACAACGTGGACTATTGTAGATTTTAGAGTTGGAGTTATTAAAACAAAAACATGATTGTACAGCTCTGCAGAGGATATTTTTTTGGATGGATTGGTTCTCCTCTTGTGAGACAGGTCTATGACGTGGATGTCTTGAACTTATACCACGGGTCATATCCATTTTTATTCTACGAAAAACTGATGAAACATCCTGCAAATCTTCTTATTTTAACCAAATATTTTGTCTTACTTCATCATAGAAAACAATTATAACAAAATAAGTACGAAAACTATTAATCCAAAGCAATTGAACACAAATTATGTAACAGCCGATACCACAAGAACAACAATACACACTGATGGTTGAAAAAACATTTTTGCCGATTGATCATTTACCAACGCAATTCTCACTAGGGATGGGAAAAACCTACCGGTTTTAACCGAAAACCGGTTTTTTTACTTCGCAATAACCGGTTTTATCGGTTGTTTTGTTTTGCCGGTTATAACCGGTTTTTTATCTTTAAAGTAAAAACCGGTTATTATGTTTTTACGGTGATTAGGTTAGGTATTATTTTGGATCCCAGTCATAATTATTATTCTCAAGTAAATATTCCAAACAAAACCATAATTCGAATTTTATTTTATTTTATAAATTCAGAAGCAAACTGAAAGTGCCAACTCACATCAGCCAGAAACAATTAAGTTTTATTATAATATGTTGTTGAAAAGGTATCATAATATTTACATAAGAAACATCATATATTTTTCACACTTGACTCTTGACATTGAAAGTGGGTGAATGGATTTGCTGATTACCAAAAATAATGTTCTGACCATGAATATCGAATTACTGATTACAAATACGAATCTCCAAGGATTTCACTACGTTTTCAAAACGACAGGAAGTAATAAATGAGTTAAAATGTACCTATTATACAAATATACAAACGTGTTAGAAGTAATCCATGATAATTTTTTTTGATAGTAGTAAAAATAAAAGATGAATTGCATTATCCAATTTATTTTTAAGTAAACTATTTGTGTTGATTTGTGTTATTTTTTTAAATCCCATTTGAAAGAGTCTGGGAAATTTTTTATAAATTGCAATGGTTGAGGAATTTTTGAGTTTGGGAGGAGGGGAAAATTGGTGGATACTTTAAAGGATTATATTTTTAAATGGTAAATTAAATTTGCATCAATAATTGAATACGATAATTGCATATTATATTCTACTCTCATAATATATTCAATGACAATAGAACCTGAATTATTTCAGCGCTCTCTGTTATACTACTGCTCCGTTCAGAGCAGTAGTATAATATTATATTTAATAATAATCAATAAATATATAATAATAATAGAATAATAAATAAATATAATAATTAATAGAATAAAATGGTTTTATTAAAAATTGTGTCTTATTTATATTGATATTGATGTTTTTTCGATAGTACTAATTTTGATAATATTGATATCGAGTCGAATGAAGTATCGCAAACTAAAGTGCATTGTAAATGTAACTTTGTAACCTATTGGATTAAAAAAAAACCGCCAGGTTAAACCGTAAGCAAAAAAAACCGGTATAACCGAAAACCGGTGTTTTGTCAAAAACCGCCATCCCTAGTTCTCACTAACGTTTTCAATAATCAACAAAAATATAATATGATGACAAGTATGACTTTGTCCTACTTGTTCTAATAATGAATCAACTTACTTGTTTTCTTGTCACAGTATATGAAAAAATCCCTACCTACAATTTTTTTAGTGTTCCACCAGGCCGACAAAATTCGAATTGTGCAAGGAACGCTATCTAGTTGAAAAGCGTCATTTTTGATCGCTTCGCGACAAATGGTTTGGATTGAAGAAATCGAATGTTAATAAATTTGGACGTATAAAATTTTCAAGAGCGATATATGGGCGATAGGTGGTCGAGTCGTTTGAATACGTTCATTTAAAACTATGTAACACTGAGCAGTTCGGTATTTTTATCGATTTGAACAAAAATGCGAATCCATATATAGACGAGTCAAGTTAGTAGAAAATAAGCGTTTTTTCGTCACAAGTGTATAGACGGGTTTGACAGTTGAAATGGATAGTATGAGATATTACAAAAAGACTCTCATCTAGGGATTCATGAATTTTTTAGTGGAACTATTTTTAAATAAACAATTAAGACGTCAATATCATTATTTTGCTCATAACTTATAAACTTGTCTATTTAGAGATTTGACGTCCACAGACGAGTTGTTGAGAAAGAAAACATACACAAAATGAGATATACTAAATTAAAATCGGTTAATAAACAAAAAAGTTATTGCATAATAACCAAGCAAAACGGCTGTTTTTGATTATTGTTAATAACTCTTTTAGTAATCAATAAAATGTATTTAAATGTATCTGAACTTAAAGATCTCATCGTGTTCGAAATGTGTCCGAAAGATAGGCTAGATCCGTCAAATAGTTTTTGCACAATTTAATTTGTTTATAAGATTTTTTGAAAAATGCACAAATTTCTAAGGCCGGTCCAGATAATTTGACTGAATGGATCTTAATAATTCGGGGCTTATTTTCTTCGATTAGACATATATTAATATCCTGTGAAAAAAAAATTTTAAAAAAATACGTTTATGTACACAAAATGATTTATTAATAAATAGCACTTTTTATGTTTATAAACATTTACAATAACTTACAGTACTATTTAGTTTAAATTAAATGGCAATAAAATATTCGGAAGGCGGGTTTAAAAAACAACAACTTAAAAAAAAAGGTCCTGCGACCATTAGGAGCCGAGTTAGTCCTTTTTTTTTTAATCACTGTTACGTCAATTAACAACATTAAGGGCTGAAATTAACCAATCTTTTAGAAGAAAAGTCAAAGTTATTTACAAAATGTTTAGCAAAAAAAAAATAATTGAAAATTGTTTAAACAGGAGTGTTGTAAACGAAGAGTACTTTGCGTTCCGACTAGAATGGAAGGAGTGAGGATTGCCGATTGCACACAAGCCGCGCTCTCCAAAAAAGTCGAGCGCACGGTTTCAAAATAGAGTGCTTGGAAAAAAATGACATATCTCGGGTTCTAGTGGACCAAATTTGTTCTTTTTTTTTTTAAACTGGGGTACAACGTTAAAATAATAACATTTAACGTACTTTCATTGCAAAATTTTATAAAACAAAGCAGCTAATGACTACGGAATGTACAAACTTTTTCTTAAGTCGTCTTTTTATTGTTATTTTTCTATTTATTTATTTCAAATATGATTATATTATATAAATGTTCATATTATATCATATGATTATATTATATCAAGTAAATGAACATTTTGAATAATGTTTACTAAAAATTTATTAATGAAATAATAAATTAATTTTATGTTATTACAGAAGTTGAAATTTTGTGTAGTGATTTTTTAAAATAATTTAATTTACTGTAATTTTCTACGCTTAATTTCTATATCGTCACTGCTACTACTATGTAAACATTCATCTTCACTTTCATCTTCAATTTCACTTGTATTATAACTTTCATAAATCATTTCATTTTCATTGTCGCTATTCTCATCAAACCCAGTTAAATACATTTTATCAATTATCTCTTGTTCATCTGTTGTATCGTTTTCTTCTTCATTAATAATTTCATAAATATTAATACAATATAATAGTAAAATAATGTTATATTCAAAGTTAACCGTATATTATTCAGACAACGTGGTACAACCATGTGTTTATTTAATATATATCACAACACGTAGTTTTTTTAATATTCAGATGAATTTTACTTACCATTAATTATTTGTAACAATTATTAAATAAAACAAAACACTAAATATTTCAATACAACAAACCGGTTGTATAGTCGCAGGAAAATGAGTTGTAACTTAAACGGCCTAACAGCATCTGCTTTCGACGTGCGCTCGACGCTCGACATTTTTTAGAGCGCGGTTTGAGTGCAATCGGCAATCCCCACTGCTTCCATTTGAGTCGGAACGCAAAGTACTCTTGGTTTACAACACTCCTGTTTAATCAATTTTCAATTATTATGTTTGCTAAATATTTTGTTAAAAACTTTTACTTTTCTTCTAAAAGATTGGTTAATTTCAGCCCTTAATGTTGTTAATTGACGTAACAGTGATTTAAAAAAAAAAGGACTAACTCGGCTCCTAATGGTCGCAGGACCTTTTTCTTTTTTTTTTAAGTTGTATTTTTTAACCAGCCTTCCGAATATTTTATTGCCATTTAATTTAAACTAAATAGAACGGAGTTATTGTAAATGTTTATAAGCTTAAAAAGTGCTATTTATTGTTAAATCATTTTGTGTACATAAACGTAATTTTTTTAAACTTTTTTTTCCATAGGATATTAATATATGTCTCAACAAAGAAAATAAGCCCCGGATTATTTAGATCCATTCAGTCAAATTATCTGGACCGGCCTTAGAAATTTGTGCATTTTTCAAAAATCTTATAAACAAATTAAATTGTGCAAAAACTATTCGACGGATCTAGCCTATCTTTCGCAAACACTTCGAACACGATAAGGTCTTTAAGTTCAGATACATTTAAATAAATTTTATTGATTAATAAAAGAGTAATTAACAATAATCAAAAACAGTGGTTTTGCTTGGTTATTATGCAATAACTTTTTTGTTTATTAACCGATTTTAATTTAGTATATCTCATTTTGTGTATTTTTTTTTTCTCAACAACTTGTCTGTGGACGTCAAATCTCTAAATAGACAAGTTTATAAGTTATGAGAAAAATAATGATATTGACGTTTTAATTGTTTATTTAAAAATATTTCCACTAAAAAATTCATGAATCCCTAGATGAGAGTCTTTTTCTAATATCTTATACTACTTATTTCAACTGTCAAACCCGTCTATACACTTGTGATGAGTAAAAACCTAACTTGATTGGCCTAATAGTCTGAACGGGTTGTAATATAAAAGTAAAGTATAAAAGTAAGGTAACCTATTTTATACCTATTTTTATTATTATTATTATTTAATTTAACACATTTTATTGAAAGGACTCCAGTGTGCTCGAAACAAATACCAAAATATGAAGACTGGGTGTTATTTTAACATTTTAACATTTATTGTACATTTTTTAGAGATATCCTGTTTTAAAAACTGTGTACTGATATCTAATGTTAATAATTGGATGTAATTTTTAAGTTTTAGATTAAATTATTACTTACTTGGCATGTAGAAATTTACACAACCACAATGATCCATAGTATAATTCGTTAAACATTCAATTCTACAATTTTCTGGAGAATATATTTTGAAATACTTCAGGTATCTTTCATCGCTGAAATAACATTGTCTATCTTTAATTCTATAAGCCTTTACTTCCGCTGACGTCGTCATCAAATTTGGTGTAATTTGGGCGGTTGTTGAACTATCTAAAGGTACACTGAAGTACATTTTTTTCATTTGAGGAATGGAATACGGAGTGTGCAGTTGAACCTGCAATATTATATAAACACATTTGTAGATTCGTTATTAACTACAACATTAAAATTTACAGAATATTGATTTTCTATTGAAAATATCAAGATTCACACTCATGTGCAGCATGTATTATAAAAAAATATATAAAAATAGACACGATGGTAAATAACGACATAGTTACAAATAAACTAGTTGAAATCGGATTATTAAAAAGAGTTAAAAAAAGTGAAGGCATAAGTTATCTCTGGAATTGGAGAAGAAGGACCATATAAACTATTTTTAAATGATCAAGATGTACCAAGGATACCAAAAGAAACTTTAAATGATGGCAAGGAGTCTCATTAGATATGTTAGAGTCGCTGCTGAAGTGTGCTGCCTTCTTATACAGGCGTCTTGTTGTAGTATACATGATGTTACTAACTCTAGCAATTGACAATAGGCTAAGGTGTCTATTTGCAAATAAACGTCATTTTCGTCATTAGTTTCTTCAATAACGAGACGTGGGAATACTGGTTTCTTTTCAGAAGTCATATTCTTGACTTTTTCATCAGAATAAAAAATGTCTTCAAAAAAATTTACTAAACAAACTTCACACAACTCATGACTCTAGATTAGAACTAAGGCAAAAAGTGAAAGAGCAAGTACGTGTATATATACTAGAAAAAACGTACAATAAAACGTAGCGTGAAAGTAGACCTCTCGATAAGCGTTGTAGCCGCAATGTACTGTGTAACATATAAGATATTTTGTGCATCTAATTGTTTGTTCGTTTCTAATGGTGCAATCATCATTTTACAATAAGCAAAGATAAAAATGTACTCCTACAAATGAGATTCTCTAAAATAATAAAAAATCTACTAATTATATTCAATACTAAAACAATATTAACAACACATTGCCTTGCATAGTGATTTCGACGAAAGTGGCATATAAGTGAAGTTTATCAAGCACTATTAATTTATATTGTAATGAAGATAATATTTACATAAATAAGAATGAAAAGAATGTTTTATTATCTGGTTCGATAATAAAACTTGTTGGGCCTAATAACACATATGAAAAAAATTCAAATCAGTGCTGTTTTATTCGTTTGTAGAATACTATGTGTCGCTCTTATATAATTTGATTCATAAAATAAAATATAGCATTTCGTAAGTGAGAATGTAAATGTTATTGTAGTATATTTCTAATTAAATTAAAAAAATAAATAATCAACGTAATATCGAATTCCGGAAATAAATCTAGCTTCAATTTAGCCGCAGACCACAGCCCCAATATTTCGGTGTTATATATATATATATATATATATATATCTATATATATATATATATATATATATATATATATATATATATATATATATATATATATATATATACTACGGAATCGTGTTGAACTATTCGGGCTGTGGTCTGCGGCTTAAATTGAAGTTAGATTTATTTCTGGAATTCGATATCTAATTGATTATTTATTTTTTCAACATGGTTAGGAATATACTAAGCAATACTTGAGGAGCAAAGTGTTCAACCAATGCATTCTTCCTATCATGACATATGGATGTCAAACCTGGACCCTAACCAAGGCAAACACAAGAATAAAATAACAATGTTAGGTGTACTACTGTCAGATAACTGGGTAAGATCCATGACAAAAGTCGAGAACATAACAACAAAAATTGCCAAACTTAAATGGAGCTTCGCGGGTCACACTGCTAGACAGAAAGACCAACGTTGAAATACTGCAATACAACATTGGAGACCTTACGAAAGTAAACGACCAAGAGAAAGACCACAGATGAGATGCGTTGATGACATTAAAAGAATTGCCGGAACAAATTGGAATGTTGCTCAGGATAGAGACCGATGGAAGGAGTTGGGAGAGGCCTATGTCCAAATATGGACGTCAGAAGGCTAAGAAGAAGAAGACGACACGGTACATTGCGGCTACAACACCAATCGAAAGATCTATTTTCACGCTACGCTTTATTGTACGTTTTGTCAGGTATAAAAAACGTACGACAAAATGTACGTTTTACCTTAGTTCCAATTTAGACTCATGAGTTGTGTGAAGTTTGTTTAGTAAATGTTTTTGAGACACTTTTTAATTATGATGAAAAAGTCAAAATAGTCAAGTTAATAGCTTCTGAAAAGAAACCAGTATTCCCACGTATCGTTACTGAAAAAACTAATGACGAAAATGACTCGCGCATTTATTTGCGAATAGACATCTCAAACCTATTGTCAATTCCTATAGTTGGTAACACCATACATACTGAAACAAGACGCCTGCATCTTCCAAATATATATCTAATGTCACTACTTACATTTAAATTGTAAAGGCTGTCCTTTCTTTATTACTAATCTACTACAGAAATATTGTCCAAAAGATATAACTAAGCATTGAGAACATGATATAACTAACAGCGTTAAAAATCATAGTTATTTTTACTTCAAATTAAAACAGTTATTTATTTGAACAAGTAATATAAATTTATCGGACAAATCCAAAATTTTTACAAATATGTAGCTTTATTCACTACGCTTGGATAATTGGAACACTATCCGGTTAATTCAAGCATGATCCGATAATCGCATTTTAACCGTAATATAATACATTATAACATAATAAAGCAAAAATCAAATAAATTTAAATAAAAATTAAATAAATAAAACAAAATTAGTTAAAACTCTTTCTTACACTGTAACCTTCTGCCTCGCTTAAACATAGGTAGTCAGTATCATTGATATTCTGCGTAATAAACAGCTGCAGAGCATTATCAGCACCAGATAGTAAAGCTCTTCTTGGGTAAACATCTTGTCCAGAGTTCTTTGGATATCCATCTTCGACCGACCAAGTCCTGTTAAAATCTATTTGATGGTAGTCATCATAGTGTACCCTACAATAGTAATAATTTTCTATAAGTCATTCCTCTAATTAAGAAGAATCAATCAATAAAATAAATGACCAGGTCAAGGCCAATCAAGTCCTGCAAAATTAGCGCCTTTACTTAAAATAAAATTATGTTTGATAATCAAAATAGCGTTAACAATAATAATTCATCGCATCATTCATTGATTCTGACGGTAAACACCTCAGCACCAACAATATATGTTGCATCCGCAACAACTTAATACTCAACAAATCACACAACTAAATCAGGAAATCATCCCTATGTAATTGATCAACTAAGCATGAAACAACTTTAGCTAGTAACAAAACCAAAAGCAGGCCCCTTGGTTGAAGAATATCAGGGAATGGACAGGAATAAGGAAAGCTGAGCAACTCTTTAGAATAGCTCGAGACAGAGACAGTTTCGCCATGTTAATCGCCAACGTCAAGGGGACTTGATAGGGCACGTTAAGAAGAAGAAGAAGTAACAAAACCAAATAGTTACTTAAAACAAAGAAACACACCTACAGAAAGATAATACACATTCAAGCGAGGACGATGACATACTGGCAGGAAAATGATTTCCAAATTGCTAAAAGTAAAACGAAGATGTACAGTCCACATAAAAATACAAATCTTACATGACAAAAAATAACAAAAGCAACTCCAACCATAAGCAACAAAGATAGTCCACCTTTGGTACTACCATTTCTATCCTTTATACTACATGGTCTAATAAATACAGCGCAGGAGTCATTTCAATTTATTAATAAGTATACTTTAAAATTTATATATAAACTTTTACAAGAAGACAAAGTGAAAATTCAAGTATCAACCAGTGAGCATTACTACAAAGTTCTCAGAAAAGCGATTTAACAAAACAAGATAGTGTTCCATACTTTTGTACCCCTTGAAGAGAAATCCTTTACGGTAGTTCGAAGAAATATTCACCACAGTACTCCAATTTAGGAAATTTGTAGACAAAGGATATCTTCTTCTTTACGTTTCGCTCCTATCGGAGATTGGAAATCATTCTGGCAATTATAATTTTGTTGGATAAAAATAGTTCAACTAAACTGCATTAAATCATTCACAAAGATTGCGTAGCCACGAGACTTGACGTCTTCCTTATTTTAAATTCCTAATTTTTATGGAATTTAAAACTTCGCATTGTTTTTCAACTTGTACGTGCGTTTGTTTTGCGATCGATAAATTATATTTTCAGAAAATGCTTGTAACACCACATTTCGGATGGTTCTAGTGTTTTAATGTTGGATTATTTTAGTGTCCAGGCCTCAAACAAAATGAATAGACAAAATATAACATCAAAGAATTCTTATCCGAGGCGTTATATTAATATTGCGATTACAGAAAAACTTTCTCATTCTGCAATTGATTGATTAATTGAAGTTGACTTCATATATATCGATACATTTTTGGCAAAGTAACGTAAGTCACCAAAAACGATTTGTAGAAAAAACAATTTTTTAATTCAACCTGCTTAAACCTATTTAAATTATGACTGAAAAAACTTGTCCTACTTGTCCTAAAAAAGACTTAGTTAAAAAAGTCCTAAAAAGTAATTCTAGGCTTACTACACTCTTTCAGTACCTTTTTAAGAGTAATAGCATTAGTTTAATTAAAAAACATTATTTTCGCCAAAAATGTCACTTACGTTACTTTGCCAAAAATGTATCGATATTATATGTATATATATATACATATATATATATATATATATATATATATATATATATAATATATATATATATATATATATATATATATATAATACCTATATTATATATAAATATATTATTCTATATAAAGTAAATTAAATTATTTAAAAGCCTGCCTACTGGATCAGATCCACGCTGTTTCCAGAAAGATATTTCTTGGTTTAATACTTTAAGTACACGATGCCTGTCGGGCACAACAATGAATGCATCCTAAATGATAGACGTAACTATAAAAGTTTTAAAATTAATTGAGGGAATGTTGCACTAGTAGTAATAATAGTAGGTATATAAATAAACAAAAATTACTTACACATTATCCTTAAAAATATCTTTCCGATCTAGCATATTAAAAGTGTAACAAACTCCTTCATCGGTTATTATAGGAATAAAAAAATCATTGCATTCTATTGATTCTCCCATATATAAGCACAAGAAGAATTGTTCTCTCCTCGTCGGCTTTAGCTGTAAAATACAGTAAGAAAATATTTTTTATATTTTTTTGCACAATGACTCACCATCAGCAACTACAAACAGCGACTATGGCGTGCAATATGGGTTGATAGGAAAAAGCGTATGGCATGATAAAAGTTATAATATCTATAAATTTGAAAGTGATTGTTTGCATTGTAGTAATCCACGATATTAGTCTAGTCCACGAAAAGAAGACTAACTTTGAGTGACAAGCTACAAAAAATTTTATAATTCTAAGCTGTAAGCTGTATACTACTGTTCATCAATCAGCCAATCGCGTCCACTGCTGGACATAGGTCTCCCTCAGTTCTTTCCAGTGTTCTCTACATTGGGCTGCTTGTAGCCAGTTTCCCGCTACACGTTTTATATCATCGGTCCATCTAGTCGGTGGTCGTCCTCGGCTTCTTTTATAGTTTCTGGTCCTCCATTCCATAATACGTCTTTTCCACCATCCATCTTGTGTTCTGGCTAAATGCCCTGCCCAGTTCCACTTAAGCGTCGTGGTTCTTTCGATGACGTCTTGAACTCCTGATTTTTGCCTGATTTGCCCAGTTCATACTACAGTTAGTGAAGTGAATATTGATCAATGTAGTAGTGTCTAGTGACTCAGGACAATAAGACCTCGAAAACCCCGAAAAAGATATCAGAGAGGATGTCGAAAGCTCTGTGCAACGAAAATAAACGCGGTTCAACCCGGAAGACTGGTAAGCTTAATATTAATTTTTATAATAGTATTAATCTTAGTTCTAATTGTACCAACCGCGGAATCTATATATATATATATATATATATATATATATATATAATATATATATATATATATATATATATATATAAATATATATATATATATATATATATATATATATATATAAATTAAATATATATATATATATATATAAATTAAATATATATATATATATATATAGCATATATACATATAGCAAAACTGGTAAGATTATCGACCGAAACGTAAATAACAATTTATTGTGTTGGAATATCGGGTATGCGGTCTGTTATTATTTAGAAAAAAAACTCTTTTTTCTTTTAATCCTCTATAGTTCGCTGATTTTTTGTCAGCTTTATCAGGAGACAAAGATTTAGAGCGGAAAGTATTTAAACAAGTTGTTGAACGTAATTTGTTCAAAACAGTACTCAAGTACTCAGTATCCTGATGAAGCTGACAAAAAATCAGCTAAATATAGAGAATTAAAAGAAAAAAGAGTTTTTTTCTAAATAATAACAGACCACATACCCGATATTCCAACACAATAAATTGTTATATACATATATATATATATATATATATATATATATATATATATATATTTATATATTATATATATATATTATATATATATATATATATATATATATATATATATATAATCAATAACCCTTCTACCCTAAGGTGTTAGATGTAAAGTCTCTTTTTAGGTTTCATATACAAACTTCCTCCAATTCTTCTTGTTGCTTGCCAATTTCTTCGCTTGCTCCTTGGTGACTCCTCTCCTGTCTAAGATGGCGGCAATTTCATCATCCCAGGTCTTGATAGGTCTGCCCCTCGGTCTTTTTAAGGTTCTTCTCGCTTCCCACACTTATTTCACTTGGCTTTTTTTATCCATCCTTACCATCTCAGTTGGGCTTCTTCGATTTTCTTCTCTATTGATTGGAGTTTAAGTCGTTCTCTTATTTCATCGTTTCGTATCCTCTCCATTCTGGTCACCCCCACTACTCTTCTTAGATACTTCATTGAAATACTTTGCAGTTGAAATACTTGGAGGCTTCTCTTAAGTGCGTCCTCGTTTCTTCCAAATACGACGAGGTCATCTGCAAATTCGCACTCCGCTATCCATATAATGTTCTCGCGAATGAATGTTCAGTGTGTAGATCGACGATTTTCGGAGCAGACGCATTTCAGTCAAAATGGAACTGTGTTTTAGTTGTGGAGAAGTACAACCCTACATATTGATTTTAACAATTGGTCAATGATGGATTTTAAAATGGTCAAGAATCTTGTCCTCAATATTACGGAACATCAGATATCTCGGCCAGTTTCGTCAGTAGCATAGAATCCATCGACATCTTCGTGGTTCGATTTAAATATTGATGAATATAACAGCAATCCTAAGAAAGCTCTAAACTGAACTGTGTCTACATCAGCTAATTCTGACCTGTTATCATTTGCGTACTTTCTTCTTAGAGTAGAAAATTTCTGATTATTCTACTCTAGTATTATAGTAATTATATTTTCAGATAATAATCTTTCAAATATGTACTTACGATTATTTTCGGGTAAACGAATTGCAATGGGAATCTTTATTATGTTATGTACAGCAGTCCGTACATTTTTTGCTGGAGGAACGCTTGACCACTTGATCTATTTTTACCATTAAAATAATTTTTATCGTTATTTTCTTCATCCTCGCTTTCAGGTGTAGTACTTGTTTTTTCAGAAAGTAACAAAGCTTCACTGCTGTCGTTATCGCCTTCTTGCTCACTATCTGTTTCGTGCTCACTAGGTATACCAGTTTCATCCAATATGCTATCATCAGAATTATCAAGGTCACTGTCACATTCGTTATAACATTGTAATGCAATGTTGACACTGTCATGTTCCGTCAGTCTGTCGAGTTCTTCTTGACATTACCACACCACCCTAGAGTTCATTTTAAAACATCTTAGTTGATTTCTCCTGCACAAAATTGCATAAATCTGAAGTACAGAGATATATTCTTCTAGTGAAATATCAATGTTTAAATTTACACTTCTACTAAATATTCCTATACCCGACTCTTCTGCTGTTTTAGACCCGTATATTATGACCCTGGTATAAACCTGCAGCCAGCTATGTATGTATTTCCTCAGTCACATGTATCTCATTGGTCTCACTTGAAAAGATACTTTACGCTATCTGGGTACCTTAATATCAGAAGTCATTATCCATCACTGATTCTTTTTTTGATGTTACAATTTCCTGATATAATCATTAAATCACTTATCTTTCAAATAAGGTATTATCCGAACTTAAACAGCTCCTTTAAATACAACTTAAGATGTTTATTGTCTAATTAAGAATTACTATAAGTTGAGCGTTTTTAAGAAAATCCCATAGGCTGGAAGTCTTCTGGTGTGGTTTGTCGCATTAGAACCCACTACTTCAAATAAGCTTAAGTTTTATTTATTCATGCAATATTTATTTGTCTTACTACCTACTTTACTTTATTACCTATAATATTGATGATGGTTGTTATGGTGTATATGGTATTATAACGACCGTTATAATTCTACTTACATAAGTAATGGTATCAAAAAACTGTTTGTCGTCAAATGTTTTGTTGTAGGTAAAATAATCGAGGAAGTCGTCATCGTCAACATCACATAATAAGGACATGTATTGAGCATTCTCAGTCCTAAAATCCAAAAATACAATTAAAAGTTCATTTTAAGTGCTTAAATTTTTACGGACCTGAAACTCTAATCTTGATAACAAAATAACGAACGTGATACCCAAATTTATGTTACATTTTATATTATTTGCTTTTCTCTTATACTTTGAGATAGACCAGGCAAACTGTTGCGATTCGTTTGAAAAAATATTCTCATAAGTTGTTCAAATTTTTTGAAACAATTTTTTAAACAATCAATTTTTTCTGCGCAAACAATTTTTTTTAGGTTTTTTGGATTTTTATAAGTATAAGTATAAAAAACAATGCTTTAAAATAAAATAAGCCCCAAATTCGTATTATGAAAATATAGAACAATTCTTCAACTTGAGTTCAGGTCCATGGTAAATTCAAAAATAATATTTTTTACTTATGTTTTTGAGCCTTACAAATCGTCATCTTGTGATTTAGTTGGTTTTAAATTATTTATAACTCTAAAACGATCATTTTTGGAGAAAACTTAGAACAGACATTTTTTGTTCATAATAATCCAAAACACATAAAAAAAATTTATTGTGCTGAAAAAGCTGATTGTTACAATTTGTTAAAAAAATAGTACAGTAGGCGGTACTGTAGATTATATATATATATATATATATATATATATATATATATATATATATATATATATATGTAATATCTCAAAAATCAAAGTAACAAATTATGGACAGTTTTGACATTTTGTGTACCTAACGGCCCATTGTATTTATACGAAATTATGAAAATTAAAATAAATATCATTTGATAGGCTTCTTCTTCTTATTCTTGCTTCTTGTATGTACGCTTTAAACCCTGCTTGTTCTTCAATATTTCTTCTTCTTCTTAAGGTGCCTTCTCCATTACTGAAGATTGGCTATAACTACAGCAAATTGCTCTCCATCGTGAGCCGTTCTTAGTATCGAATGTGTGTCCATGCCTGTTCAGTCTCTTTCATTTTTCAACCAGGAGCATTTTCTTCTTCCTGGACCTCTTCTTCCTTCCTCTTTCCCTTCCATTATAAGTCGTAGGAAGTTCTGTTTTTCTCCTCTGTAAATATGTTCTAGATAACTCGTTTTTCTGTTTTTTAAAATATTTAGGAGTTCTCTCTCAGTACCCATTCTTCTTAGCACCTCGTTGTTGGTCACGTGCTCTGTCCAAGAGATCTTCAGCATCCTTCGAAAAACCCACATCTCAAAGGATTCTATACGCCGCATACTTGTACTATACTTCTCTTCAATATTAGCCTCCTAAATTGTTTAAACTATTGCACCGATAATTTAAACAATCGTTGCGACGTTATATCTTTTTCTTGGTCTGCAAATATTTCGTCCAAAAAATGTTTAAACAAAACAGGTTATATTAAAAATAGTGGAAGAGTAAGTGATAAGATCAACTAGCGCGGAGTATACTATGCTTGTGTATTTTTAAAATTTAAATAATATATTTAAAATAAAATAAAGTAATTTTAATATATATTTATTTTTTGTATTTTAAATAAATTCAATTATGTTTGGTCCTATCGCCACATATTAACGTATTAACAAAACATAGGTTTTTTACTTTTTACCAACCTGTCAAATTCAGATATTACTAATAAAGTATAAATAAATACCATTTGATAGTGAATTTAATTATTATATAGTTAAACTAAATAATATATTTAAAATAATAATTATATTTATATAAAATTATTTAAATCAAGAGATATTAAAAAACCAAATTAAACAGTGTTAGTTATTTTTTATGCAGTTTGTAATTTAAATCTGCTTGGAGTAAATACATGATGACTAGAAACGAATTGATCGAGAGGTGTGAATCAATGTCTACCCATCACGACGCTATGGCTATCTTTTGGCGCTAGTTCCTTGACGCTAGCCTCAGCAAAAGTAATTCAACGCCAGTATGGAGACTTTGCTTCTAAAATTGTTTATAACAATTTGAACAACTTTTTGTTTAGGTCCTTTCCTTAGGCAACCTCTTGAACCTTATTTTAGGATATCTCATGGAAGTGATTATGTAAAAGATCTCATGGAAATATTTTTCTGAACGAACCCGAGCCTTTTGCATTGTCTAATAGCACTAGTGGTCATTCATGATTTCTTAAAAAAAATCAAAAATCTTTACTATAATAATAAAGAAGCCATCAGGATATTCTTCTAACCGGAAATATTTTTAATCAAATACACAAAGAATTTTCTAAAAATCATTCTGTAGTAGGTACTATAAATTGTTTTTCCATACACATTTTCATCAATTTTTCATAAATTTGTCTTGCTTTATTGTAGATTATACGTTAAGATGTAGCTTTATTTATTGAATTAGGTAGTGGAAAATTTAAAAGCAACAATCAAAGGATCGCATACATAATTAGAAATCAGCACAACGAATATATTTTTAAACAAAACATATCGTTAATCATTGAAAACAGTTTCTGTAGTGTATTTCTGAATATAAGCACTTAATCAATTATAAGCACAAATTGTTTGTTTATTCCATAATGAAATTTGAGTTTACATACTAGATACTGAGATATCTAAAAAATCTATTAGAATAAACAAAGCTTTTTGTCTTAACAATTTGTATACCTACTCTTCCTTTGTTAAGTTCTTTTCATCCCAAACTCTATGAACAATTTCGGTATAATTAAAATCAGCTGCACTAGACTTCGCCACTGGACAAATCGTAATTGCCGGAAACGGAATCATATAAATCGGGGATTCTCTCGTGGCTAAACTTACAATAAACGGATTTTCTTCGTATTTGTAATAAATTTCCATAATGTAATATATCGAAAGAATAGTCGCTCCCAGGATGAGGATTGCCCATAATATTCTGAAACAAAAATAATTATAAATGAAAAATATTTTAATATTCAAACAGAAAACATAGCTTTTTAATATTTTCTTAATTTTGACCACTCTATTTTGTCACATATTTCTGAAACTGCCAAAAAGCGAGGGTATTTAATTTATTTCTTTTGTATTTATTTTTATTTATATAAAAAATGGACAGGTTCTGACACCCGTCCCATAAACAAAAAATGTTTTAATGTATTTTTTGTGGACTTTGTGTTTTTTTAATGAAGTGAATTTTTTAACACAGAAACCGAATAAAGAAATTTTTTTGTATTTTTTTACCAAATGGGATCTCTCCTAGCAGTGATACTTTTAGCAACCTGATCATAACTTTGAAGATGGCTTTGTAAGCCGAAAGCGCTCAGCTAGGAAATAAATGTTTACACATTAAAAAATAATTTTTTTTCCATTCTTTGATTTTTTATAAGTGTGTCTAAAAACATACTTTGTGCATGTCTTTTTATATTCAAAAAATGGTAAAATAGACATCAGCTATGACGAATAAAGATGGTGGTAAGTCGATAGGTAAAATATAGAAAAGGAACTTGAAAATTGAGCTAAAAAACAAATTAAAATTATGCATGAGAGTAACCTATATTCATATAAGCACTCAAGCTTTCCGAAAAATAAATAAGAATGCTAAATAAAATATTATTGAAATCATGAAAATATATTATATATATAAAATATTATTGATTGTACTGAAATGTTTTCTAATATACAAAAATACCTTGAATTTATAAGAAATGCTATAAGGGGAGCCCAAATAACTATCGGGCGAGGTCATCGGAAATAAGAAGTACACAAGGAGTTACGAAGTAGATATAAATTGATCTATAAAATGATTACGATACAATGCGAATAGCAAAACTTATAACAGTACTTCGAGACACCGATATAAATCATCACTGTGTAACAATCTAGATGTCGAATTAAAATAGACCACACCCGATTATCTCGATCTTGCTGTGATAAGAAAGCTGTCAAAGATGCTGCGATTCGTAAGACCCTTAAAAATATATTTTTACCAAAGCTTTGGATACTTTTCAAATATTGGATACCAGAGGACGACCACCTACTAAATGGACGGATGATAAACGCATCAGCACAAATTGGATGCAAAAAGTTCAAGATATTAATAGAAATATATTTGAAATAATAATATCGATAATAAATCTAACTATCTCTTATGTGTTTATTATGTCTTTTATTTTATGGATAATTTTTTTCTCATTTCTTCATTTTATATTCTTATTGGGCACAAAAATTATTCTGAGGAATTTTCTTTCAAATATTCCTAATCTTTTTTATCTTTATCCGTGAGATCCATTTGTATTTTTGGATAAGTTCTTGTGCTTCATTAGCGTATATTATCTTCAATATGTTTTGCTGCCTACTAGTATTCGCTCTGTTTTCTTTTCACTTCTCCTAATTTTGCCACTAGCAATTACTTCTAAGTATTTAAATTGTTGAACTTTTTCAAAAGTGTAGTTTTCTATCATGATTGCTGTCGTCTTGTTATCTTGTCTTTTGGAGAATACTAGATGTTTTCTTTTTTATTCGTTCATTTCTAGACTTGTCTCCGTACTTCATTTGTCACGACCGTTAATTATTGTTTTAATATTTCTATATCTCTTCGCATAAAAACTATGTCATCTTCTTTCCTAGACTGTTCCTTCTACAGCTATGTTAAATAGTGTGGTTGATAGGAATGAGCATTTCTGTTTCTATTGCAATTGTCTTTATGCTATTTTCTTCTGTTGTTATTTAAGCTCAGGATCCTTCCATAGTCATTTTTGGTAATTTGATTTACTTTGCAGTTATATCATGATTCATGAATTTTCATTTCATTAAATACCTTATTTCTTCCAATACATTCAAAGGCTTGTCTGAAGTCTATGTAGGCTGTGGAGTTCTATGTTGTATTCGTGGTATTTTTCGATTGTTTGTGTAATTATGTGGATCATATCTGTAGTGGATATGCTTTCCCTGAATTCTTTCTGGTAGTCCCCAATTTGTTTCGCTGGCAGTCTCTAATTTTTTTTCTTTGCATATTAAGTTAGTTTTTGTCTGGTGAAAGCTGTTTGGAATTTTATATGTGGTACTTAGTAGCGACAATCCACTATGTCTATTACTTCTGATTTCTTCAAGATTGGTATAATTTTTCTAATCCTCGAACATTTCTTCTGTATCTTGTTAGAAGTTTTATCTGGTCTAGATGTTTTTTTGTTTAATTGGTTTATTAACCTATAAATACTCATCAATAGGTTGGTAGCCTTATTTTATTATCACCTGTGCCTTCTGTTGCACATTCTGCCTCTTCAAGACTTTCTTTACATCTATATAGTTCTGTCTGTTTCCCTTGATCCATTGTAACTTTTAACCACTGATCGGCATTTTCTTTGTTGAGCTTTTGGGCATCCAAATAGCTTAGCGATGTCTGTGCTATTCTGTTCTAGGCATTTTAACAACTCTTGCAGCTTTTTTTAATTCTGCAATTCTGGTCCACTATTTTTTTTCTTTGTATTCGTTTCGATAATGTTTTTGCTTAGTTAATATTTATTTCTTGCTTGGTTTTTCTGTTTAATTTTGGTTTCGCATACTGTATCGAACTATTATTTTCTTATTTTTATTTCCATCTGTTCTAGAATCTCTTCGGTTGTGGATAAATTTTTGTAAGAAATTTAACCAAGTGTTGCTAAGCTACTGGTAGTAAACAATTTCTAATTTCATAAGATCTACAGAGGTAACTTTCTCCGAAAAAATTCCAAAGAAATCGCTGATTTAAAGCAATCAAAAGATGTTGGTTAGAGTTTTCATCTCACGCATATTAGTCAGTGTTAATTTAGTACTCGATCAAATGGGTCGACGCATTTCTGGTTAAGGCAATTTAGACTCTCGCGTAATGAGTATACCTAGTTATTGTTATATATCGTACAGTTTAAAGGCCACATGTTTCACAAAAACTCATTATTAATCAAGTATACTAATACTGAAGGAGGCATTCTTGGTCTCATGTGAAAATTTTATTAGTAAGATATTTAAACTGTAGCAGTGCTCTCGTGTGGTGTTTTGTGGAATCGTGTAAATTGAACAGTGATCGGCGGTTTAGATATAAAAACTTTGCGCTACAACGTTGGCAGATTTGAACTTAGTTAAAGTAGCAAAGTTAATAATTGAATTACGTAGTGTTTAATGGTTGTATTCTTATTTCCCACGTTAGTGGGTAGTCCTTCGAATTGGAATTAATGACATTACTTATACTTAGTACGTTCTAAATGGTAGTAAGATCGCCATCCTCATTTGTTGAACAAATCTTTCGTTTATTTCTACCATTTTTGTTGGTTACTTTAAGACGGATGAGGAACCAGTTGAACCAATTTATCTGCAAATGAAATCTCGCTTTTATTAGAAAACTTTTCTTTGTAAAAACCTTAAATCGCATCGTGAATGATATATGTGAGTCATCAAGTTACGCTACTAAAGAATTTTGTTCTTGACAGATTACCTGTTTCTAGCTATTCACCATTGGATCCACGAAGAGCGGTGAGCTATTGTTGTTTTAGAAATTCCAAAGAGTGTCGCAAGATAACATTTATATCTATTGGTATTGTTCAATTTATTATTTACAATTTTATATAGAAAATTTTATACTTACAAATTAAATCATTTTATTGGTGTCAGTTGTACTATTCTGCAAAATTTTCTATAATGGCTTCTCAGAATTTAACTAAGCAAATCGGAGGTTTGAAATCTCAATTGACCCGTATTGATATCTTTTTGAATACTAATTCAGATGATTTGAATAATAAACAGTAAGATAGTTTTATACAATTAAAGTATGATTATTTATTTATAATTTTACAAAAGATCAAAATTCTGGAACAAAAATTACAAGGTTTATTAGATCAAGCGGAGGAGTGAAGTGCCGATGGTACAACCACTAATGCTACTGAATCATCACAAAGGGAAGTTGTATTTTCAGCAATGAAAACTATCGACCGTTTTGAGATTCATTTGGCTAAATTATTAAATTTAATGGATTACACTGATGATTTTCGAGTTTCAAACAGATATTAATATTAAACCTTATTCTGGTGACTCTCAAGAATTAATTTTTTGATTTATTTACAGCAGTTGTGTTAAACAGTGCCAAATTAAGATCTGCTAGCCAAAAATTTTATTATTTTAAAACGCTTCTGAGAGGTCAACCGCTACAATTAATTGAATCTTTATCTGTGAATAATCAAAATTTAAAAATTGCTATATCAATAGTTAAAACTAATTACAAAGACAAAAATAAGCTTTTAAATTCTTTGTATTGTACATTATTCGATCAAAAAACTATGACTAAATGTAATTCTCTTCAACTAAGGACGTTTCATATCACATGTGAAAAAATATTAGATTTGACTAAAATTTTAAACTTAATGACTCAAATCAATTAAGACACATTGTTAGTATTTATCTTAAAAAGAAAGCTAGATGATGAGACTAGACGCGCTTTTGAAAACGAACGCAATCCAAACGAACTGCCATCTACTAATGGGTATTTTTAATTTTTGCGAAAACAGTATAGTGTATTGGATAATTTAAACATACGATAAACCTAGAAGTAATATTAATAGTAATTTTGAAAAAAACGCATCTAGAGTGTCATTACACACAAACGCCGCGGAATCTTGTATTTTTTGCAAAGAGCGGACGCATCAGATATATAAATGTCAAAAATTTTTAAATTTAGTTTCACAGAAAAGACTACATTTGTTAAAGCCAAATACAGTCTTTCTGTAAATCTTTGTTTGGGTGTCGAGTATGCAGAAAAAGTCATCAGTCTTTACTACATTTAGACAATAACGGTCATAGGCGATATTAATCGCAGGGTCAAACCCACGCTTCTTCTAATTTTCGACATAGTTCTTAACAACAAAACTAAAATTCACATAGGTATAATTCTAATCCTAATAGCACTAACCG